GGGGCCTTCCTGGGCCCATCCCGGCCCATGACGTGCCAGCTCATGTGTGTTGCGTGCACTTTCGCGCTCTCTCAGGCCAAAGGCCGTGATGAAACAAGGGCTGCGCTCTTGGAGCCTTGCAAAGAGCGGAGCCTTATGATGCGATGGTTTTTTGGCCGGAACTAGAGCTGAGGCTGCCAGCCTGGCCACCCTGACCCCGATGAAGGTCGGGAGCTTTAGCCCCGTTTTTGGTTTGGAGAGGTTGGGAGCCTCGCAGCCATATCGCAGCCTTGAAAGTGAAGGCCCAGAGGGCGGTCAAGGCGGTCAAGCCCGGACCGGCGGAAGCGCCACGGGCCCAGAAAACTGCAGGAAAATTGTCGTGGGCGGACGAGGCCAGCGCTTGTGGCCTCTGGTGGTATATTGCTGTGGGGGAGGGCAGAAGAGAATGGTGAAACATTAGGGCTCCCGAGTGACTAGTGCCAAAGTTTGTTCAACTTCAGGGGTCCTCCAGGCCGAGTGCATTTGCAGTATCTGGGCATGCAGGCCTCCGAAGTACTGTGTTGTTGCTACAGTAGCCTCTGCGCTCGCTTCGTTGCTGATGTTGTTGTTTGTTTCGTGCTTGTGCTATTTGTAACCTGGTAGCTGTTGCTTTGCTGTGCATGCGGATGTGTGCACTGCTGTGCAGTTGGGTACAGGCTCGGCAGCAAGGCCCCAGGCTTTTAAAAGCATTGCAGTGGACGTGCCGAGGCCTCCCTTGCCGATGCTTCTGGGAGGGGAGGCCCGCGACGTGAAAACCCTAAGCCAGTCCTAAACCCTATAAACCCTGCCTTGTGCGAGAGTGAGTGACTAAACCCTATAAACACCACAAACGGCTGGGTCGGGACGCCCGCAAATTTGAAGTACCATCCAAAGCGGAGGCGGGTCGTTGGAGTATGCTGGCCTCCGCGAATTGCTGCCCCAACATGCAGGTTCCTGTGACCAGGGCCACTGATGACTATGTGGCGGCCCTCAAGAGCGAGTTCCAAGCAGCCCTGGTCCGTGTCTTACTGTCCGAGCCACCCGCGCCTCTACTTACTCATGGTGCCTGCATGTGGGAGGCACGGACCCTGGACAAGACGTCAGAGGAGAAGGCCTCTGATCAGTGTTGTGGCAGCTGGTGTGGTGCTGGTGACGGCTCTGTTGCCGTACTCTTCCACGTTTGAGGCCGAGCTGCAGCAAGAACTTGCAAGCGCAGCGGCGGCTTCTCAGGAGGGACCCTGCATTGAACACTAGCCGCTTGGTGTGACGTAGGTGTGCGCAGCATGACCGACACTGCCGAGGGAAAGTAGAAGCTGGCCCACGAGCTTGTTTGTCTTGTAGAGTCTTATAGGGCCTATATACAAGGGCTCGTGCGTGGGCTTGTCCGCTCCCATCGGCCACGCACAAAGTCCCTAAAGTCTGGCCCGTGGAGGAGTACTTGCGAGAGTTGGCTCGCAACCAGGCGGGGTGGCGTTTACAGCAAGGGGCTTCATCAACAGAAGGCTCATGCGGGGAGGCCGACATGGCACAGCTCAAAGAAGCAGTCGCCAGGCTCGAGGCGCGCGCGTCAAAAAGCGGGACCCGTCAAGTCTGCAAGCTGCACCCCCACGTACTTACAGCGCTTGCATGTCGGAGGCCGGGGATTTGGACAAGACAGCGGCAAAAGAAAGCTGTTGGGCGGCGGAGAAGGCGTCAATGGGATAAGTGTTCTGGCTCCTTTCACGGTGACCGCTCTGTTGCGCACTCTCGCTGTTTGAGGCCCAGCTACAGCAGGAGCTCGCCAGCTTCGCAGAGGCTTCTCAGGCGCGACCCCGCGCTTAGCGTAACTAACTGCGCAGGGCCTGAGCATGCATAGTGATGCATAGTGAGCCCGGGACGAAGAAGAAATGCGCAGAAGCTCGCCCACGGCCCTTCTTTGTGGAGACTAGCTTTGGGCACTCTTGCGTGGTTTTGTCCTGCATCCGCCACGCCAGAAGTCGAGTGCACTGTGTGTAGAGCGTGTATCTTTTGGAGGACTCCGCGCAGGAGCTGGCTCGGAACCAGGCGGCGGTTTGGAAGGGGGGGGGGGGAAGCTTGCAGCAGGACTTCATCAATGTGAGACTCCTGGCAGGCCGAGGTGGCCGAGCTCAAAGAAGCAGTGGCCAGGCTCGAGGCACGCGCGTCAACGCTCACGCATCAAAGTGGCAATCTGCAGCTCTGCTTGGCGCTTGCGTGTGGGACGCACGACGTCTGGACGAGGTGGAGGCCGGGTGCTGGGCGGTGGAGAAGGCCCTAGCTAGATCCATGTTGTGGCAGTTCCTGACAGCGGTGACGTGCTCTGTCACTTGCTCTTTGTTACTTACGAGGCTGAGCTGCAGCGAGAGCTCGCAAGCACCGCAGCGGCTTCTCAGGAACAACTTGGGCGATTAGATCCCTTTGACTCTCTGACGTGGCAGCCAATCCTGGCACGGGGCCCGCGCACGCATCTCGCCCATCAGGGGGGTCTGTTCAAATTTCCTGGCGGATGGGGGGGGGGGGGGGGGGGGGGGGGGGGGGGGGTGGTACCCTGAAGAACTTGCTTTATTTCAACTTCTTTTCCTATCTTGTTTAACTAGCTTGTTTAAGGGGTCAAGATTGCAAGTCCGATCCGAACGCGCCATCATTCCTACATGAGCACTTCCGCTCACCACACAGCCTACTCCAGGCTCCTACACAAACCCGCCGCCCAACCACTTTGTGTGTGTGTGTGTGTGTGTGTGTGTGTGTGTGTGTGTGTGTGTGCGGGTGTGTGTGTGTGTGTGTGTGTGTGTGTGTGTGTGTGTGTGTGTGTGTGTGTGTGTGACCATTTTTGTGGGCACAGGGCTGCGCAGATTTGTCGGCAAGGGGATGCTCTACACTAAGGTGCCAACCCCTAGACAAGTTAGAAGTTTCTTTCGCTATCCGATATCCCGGAGTGCCTACTGTGTGACGTAGCAGCTCGTAGCAGCCTGTGCACGCATCACGCTCCTAGAATAAAGTATTAGCTGAACAGCGAGTAAGCTTGTCTTCGACCACAGTCTCAGGCTCAGGGCTTTTGCAAGGCTCCGCCCCCTCCCGGGTTTTATCTCCCACGCCCAAAGTCCTCACAGCACGAGCGAACTGTATGTGGTCGGTGGAGGAGTACTTGCAGGAGCTGGCTGGCAACAAGGCAGCCATGGGACGCTTGTAGCAGGACTTCATCAATGCGGGAGACCTGACAGGCCGCAGTGGCAGAACTCCAAGAAGCAGTCGCTAGGCTTGAGGCGCACAAGTCAAAGTATAATCAGACGCATCAAAGTCATGCACCTCTACTTGGCCCCTGTGTGTGGGAGGCAGGCGCTCAGGACAACACAGCTGCTCAAGAGAGCTGTTGGGCAGCAGAGAAGGCCTTGGTTCAATGTGATACTTACTCTGTTCTGTACTGCTGCGTTTGCTGCGTTTGAGGCCGAGCTGCAGAGAGAGCTGGCGAGTGCAGCAGCGATTTTTCAGGAGCGACGTCAGCGTTTAGCAAGCAAGAGCTGATAGGTGTGAAGCAGCAGCCAGCCTTGGCACAAGGCATGCGCACGCATCGCGCACCCAGGCTTTAAAAGCACAGAAGCTGAACAACCAGTCGGCGTTTAGCAGAAGCTGGTTGGTGTCTGTAGGGCTCTTGCGAGGCTCTGCCAGCTCCTGGATTCTGTCTGCCACGCCCAAAGTCCCCCAAGAGTGTGTGAATTGTGTGTGTGTGGCCCACTGTGGAGTGCTTGCAGGAGCTGGCTCGCAACCAGGCGGCCGTGGGACGCTTGTAGCAGGACTTCATGAACAGGAGACTCGTATGGGAGGCCGACGTGGCGGAGCTCAAAGCAGCAGTCATGCGGCTTGAGGCGCGCGTGGGCGCGCGTATGCGCGCGTCAACGCGGATGCACCAGAATTGCAACCTGCACCTCATTTGTGCCTGCGTGTGGGAGGCAGCTCAGGACAAGGCAGCTGCTCAAGAGAGCTGTTGGGCAGCCGAGAAGGCCTTTGAACTTTGATCGATGTCATGTTGTGGTACTCGTAGCAGACCCTTGCTTTGTTGGCTGCTCCGTTCGGAGCTGTCACGGTTGAGGCCCAGCAAGATCTCGCAAGCGCAGCAGCCGCTTTTGAGGAGAAACTGCTGCGTTTAGCAGCACGCGCGTCACATGTATGGAAGTTGGGAGTTTGACTCCTTTGCTGGCGGACTTTTTGCAATAATTTGTAATGCGCTCTCGTGTAGTTTCGTCCACTCCCGGATTGCATGAGTTGAGAGTATCGCCCGTGCAGGAGTGCTCACAGGAGTTGGCTTGCAACCAGGCGGGGGGATCTTTTTTTTTCGCAACGGGGAGCAATCACGGGGAGTCTTGTGCGAGGCCAAGGTGGCGGAGCTGCAAGAGGCAGTCGCCAGCCTTCAGGCGCCCCTTCAAAACGGACACGAATCGCATGACACGCAAAGAAATTTCTGTGACACGATAAAGTATAATTATATCACCAGAAGGACGCATTGGGTTGCTGAATGTTGCTGATCCATGGCCCATTTTTCCTGTGCCTGTGAGCTGGCACGGGCTCAGGCCCATGTGAGGGAGCAGCACATCGCCCTGCTGAGCCTGCAAACCGAGCTCCACGAACCCAAGGCGCGCCGCAAAGCAGGATCCGACATCGGTTTTCGTCCTTGTGGAGTTAACTGACGCCGCAGGCCCAGGTCCACGAGACGGCCAAGAAGGACTCCATCCCCGGCGTGATGAGACACTCTGTCCATATGCCGCCGCACGTCGAAATGCCCCTTCACATTAAAGATCGCATCTTCGCGTTGGATCTCCCTCTCGTACTTGAGGCGACAGTTTCGTTGACGGCGTGCATGGTGTGAAATTGCATGACGTACCTACAGGAGGAGCTCTGGGACGTCTCGGAATCCAGCCAATGCTCACCTGGCTCTGCGAGGCCAGCAGTTGGCAGGTGGTCGGAAGTGGGACTGCGAAAAGTAGCAGAATGCATCAGAACGCTGTCTGCAGGGCTTCGAGCTCCCACGACGCTGTGCTGCCGGGCGCCGTGCAGGAAGAGCTTGAAAGCCGCTTTTGGAGTACTGCCTCTAGGTTACAGATGCCACCAGCCTTCAATCACTCTGCACGTTTGCTTTGACCGTGCCCGTGGTGTCCTCACAGGAGATACCGCAGCAGCCCGCGTCGTCTCGCAGAGCACCCGTGCCTTGACATACCTGACATGAAGTGTCGTGTGAGCCATGCATCTCGCCGTTCTGCCTACTGAATCGCTAAAAGCTTTACTGCCTAGGTGATCACACGGTGGCAGGATGCTGGGTTGTGGGGCCGTACCAAAGCATCCTTGCAAGACGGCCGCCTGGGGCAGGCGCGGAACGTTGTGTGTCGCGAGTGACTGCGAGTGATGTGAAGCAGATTGATTGGGGTGTGGCTGGGTAGGCCAGCCATGGCTTGGAGCGGAAAGACAGCCTGGCGAAGGAGCAGTGTTGCCAGCGTTGCCCAGTGTTGCCCTTGCAGGTGATCCTTTGGTTGAGATTGTCTCCAGTTTCGGCAGGACATGTTGCGGAAATACATTGAGCGGTATGGCAAAATCCCTGACCGTGCAGCACCTCGGCTTAGCAACGCCCCCTCCCCCCCCCCCCGACCCCCCTCTCCACCCAGCGCATGGAGAGATCAAGCCGTGCTTTGTCTCTTGAGCAGGCTTGTCGAACGCAGTGCACATGCTCATGCGGCCGTGCCAAGGACCAGCTAACAAAATTTGCGCAGAACATGCAGCAGTGCCTGCCCTTCGCCTGGGCACGCGATGTCCTGGCCACTTAGCAGACTTGGTGCTTGTTGTTTGTGTGATATTGTGTGATTCTCGGGGACGGGGCGTCTCTATACCTGAAGAAGTCGAGCAACATCTTTCAACTCGAAGGAAAAAGCTTAGTTTGATTTGGGCACGCTTGCGAGTTTTGCCCGATCTTTTTGGTTCTCGTCACCGGGTCCACATGCTCCCTAGAGAACTTCACTTTGTGCGTGGTCCTTGCTAGCAGTGAATGAGCGCGGGTGCTTTCTGGATCAGTCTTGAGGTTGGGGGGGGGGGGGGGGGGGGGGGGGGGCTGCGCTGCAGATTTTTTTAGCTATAGGAGCTGCTAAGAAAAGCGCGCAGAGCCCAGAGTCCTAAAGTGGTGGCCAAATGCAGCCCGCTCAGGTTGTTCAAGTTTTTCCCCGCCCTTCGGTGTGGGGTTGTTAGATTTTCAAACTCAACTCTTCTCCTCGCCCGGAACTCTTCTCCCGTCTACTCCTCGCTCCCCAGATTCTCCGGAGTACCCAGCCCCAGAGCCTTCCTGGAGTGCCCAACCCCAGTGTCCCGGGAGTGCCCAGCTCCAGAGTCTCCCTGGAGTGCCCTGCCTGGAGCCCAACCCCAGAGTGTCCGTCTCCCTACCCCAGAGTCTCCTGCCCAACCCCAGAGTGTCCCCAGAGTGCCCAGCCCCAGAGTGTCCCTGGAGCCCAACCGTAGAGTATCTCTACCAGGAGAGGGTGGGGATGTTCGAAGTAAACTAATTTGAAGATCATACGGACCCCCATTATATCGGATTCGTGTCCAGATGTGCTCGATGCAGAAACTGCTCATGCAAGGCAGCTGCCTGATTCACGCGCCGGCAGCGTGCCGCCACACCTCGGCGACTCTAACGTGGAAGAGGCGCTTCGGCAATCGCCTCGCAGGGCGCGTAAAGCATTCGGGGCGCCGCCCCGATCCACGTCACACTTCATGACATCCAAGCCATTCCTTTCTTTGCACACTTGGGAGGCACCTTTACCGGCACCGCGGATTGCCGCTAAGCAGCAAGGATTGCACAGCACCAGGAGTCGAAGACATGCGCCGTGATGCAATGCACTGCTGTGACATGCATTTCCCGCCCCCAGGCCTTGCAGAGCGCGTGGCCTCCGAGCGGCAAGCTGCGAGCCGCAAAAAAGACGCATCGTTGCAGCCCAGGTTCTTTTCGCGGTTGTCAGTGGAGGTTTAGGCGAGTCATAGAGTTTCGCTCGTAGTTTCAGGGCATCGCCACCAACACCAGAAGAATCCCATGAGATTTGATCTTGTTTCGGCTTTGAGAAGTGCTTCCCGGAATCGGCGCCTCACGGGTCTCTCAGGCCCTGCGACGGACATTTAGGTTCCCCACCCGATTCTAAAGTCCGCGCGTGCCTGTGTCATCCCGGTGTACAGTAGCGGCAAGGCTTTTCCTCTTGCCCTTGAAGACACCCCCCCCACCCCCCGTTGCCCGTAGGCCCGTAGGCGCCCTGCGCCTGCTCTGCTCGACGTATTGCGCAGCTTGTGACCTGACGTATATCCTGACCTCGCCGCGCACCTCACCACAGCCAAGAAGATCAGCTTGCGCATGCACAGTCTGCTATAGCAATGGCTTTAGGGTCTGGGCGTGTCAACGAAGATTTTCGCAGTGGGTCATGGCCTTTTTCAGAGCGCCCTTGCCTGGGGCAGCGCAACCGGTGGTGGCGGCTCGGCAGGAGTTTGGCTAGCATGTGCACGGTGCCATTTAACTTTTCTAGGACCTGCAAACATGTCTGACACTTTGGTTTGAGAGATCCGCTTGGCAGTTCGCATGCTGCTTTTTTTTCTGCCTATAAAACAAGGTGTCTCGAATTGTTGGTCGGAAACCCGGAGCTCGACAGCCTCGTGCCGTTCGCACTGCCGTTTGTGCCAGCGCTGTACGTGCTCCAGACATCCCCGGCTTCATCTCACGAGTGGCTGAGGTCCGGTCCGCTCGTTGTGTGAGACTGAGACGGGCACCTTGCGCAGCCTATTGCGCAACCATGCGCCGCCTGCAGTCCTTCCCATCTCACGGTCCCCAAACACGAGGCCCACCATACGTGTGCGGTCGCAGACGCCGCCATGGATCCAGAGTGCGGCCCGCCTGCGTTTCAAGGCATGCGTTTCAAGGCGGTCACAGAGAATTTGACTTGGAACCCGCCAACTGGACCAAGGTCACTCGGTTCTGCGATGCGGCTACCAAGACATGTCTTGCATCGAGCAGCATCTGTATTGACTATAGTGCTTGGGGTCCTGACTGGGGGAGATTTGGTACGGGGAGTGACTGGTGCCTGGGCCAGGAAGGGTCACCGTCTGTGACGCCGCGACCTGCCGGGCCTTCTTGGGGCCATCCGGCTCATGATGTGCCAGCTCGGTATAGCCCCGTGTGTTGCATGGCGCGTCTTGCATGAACTTTCGCGCGCTCTCAGGCCAAAGGCCATGATGAAGCAAGGGCTGCGCTCTTGGAGCCTCGCAAGAGCGGAGCCTTATGCTGCCAGGGTTTTTGGCCGGAACTAGAGCTGAGGCTGCCAGCCTGGCCAGCCTAACCCCGATGAGGGTCGGGAGCTTTAGCCGGGCCCGTTTTTGGCTTGGAGAGGTTGGGAGCCTCGCAGCCATATCACAGCCTTGAAAGCGAAGGTCCAGAGGGCGGTCAAGGCGGTCAAGCCCGAACTGGCCGAAGCGCCACGGGCCCAGAACTGCAGGAGAACATTGTCGTGGGCGGAGGAGGCCAGCGTTTGTGGCCTGTGGTGGTATATTGCTGGGGGGGAGGGCAGAAGAGAACGGTGAAACATCGGGGGTCCCTAGGGCCAAAGTCTGTTCAACTTCAGGGGTCTCCCAGGCCGAGTGCATTTGCAGTATCTTGACATGCAGGCCTGAGAAGTATTGTTTTGTTGCTACAGTAGCCTCTGCACTCGCTTCGTTGCTGATGTTGTTGTTTGTTGTGCTTGTGCTACGTATTTGTTACCTGTTGCTTTGCCTGCTTCTTCTGCTCTGTGCAGGGGAAAACTGTTTGTGCACACTGCTGTCCCTCTTTGCTGAAACTGTACAGGCAATACAGATGTGTACACCGGTGTGCTCGGCCGCAAGGCCCCAGGCTCAAAATGTGCAGTTGATGTGCCGAGGCCTCCCTTGCCGATGCTTCTGGGAGGGGAGGCCGGCCACATGCAAGAAGTCTCCAACTCGCCTTTAGGGTTTTGGGTTTAGTAAGGGTGCCCATAAAACTGCTGCTGGGTCAGGACGCCCGCAAATTTGAAGTCCAACCATGCAAAGCAGAGGCGGGTCGTTGGAGTATGCTGGCCAGCCTCTGCTTCCCCAACATGCAGGTTCCTGTGACCGCGGCCAGTGATGAGTATGTGGCAGCCCTCAAGGGCGAGTTCCAAGCAGCCCTGGTCCGTGTCTTACTGTCCGAGCCACCCGCGCCTCTACTTACTTATGCTGCCTGCATGTGGGAGGCACGGACTTTGGACAAGACGTCAGAGGAGAAGGCCTCTGATCAGTGTTGTGGCACGGGGGGATGATGGTGGGGCCGGGGTGCTGAATACTGGGGTGCCCTCAAGCTCCTTGGAGCACCCCTGCGCCAGCAGGTCTAAATAAGTGTCAAGTGCTAAGGCTGTTGATGCTGTGGGGATGGGGGATGATGGTGGGGCCGGGGCGCTGAATAGTGGGGTGCCCTCAAGCTCCTTGGAGCACCCCTGCGCCAACAGGTCAAATAAGTGCCAAGTGCTAAGGCTGTTGATGCCGTGGGGATGGGGGCTGATGGTGGGGCCGGGGTGCTGAATACTGGGGTGCCCTCAAGCTCCTTGGAGCACCCCTGCGCCAGCAGGTCAAATATGTGTCAAGTTCTAAGGCTGTTGTCGTATCATCACCTTTATCATCGTCATCATCATCATCATCAGCATCAGCATCATCATCATCATCATCATCATCATCATCGTCATCATCATCATCATCGACAGCCCTGGGCGATGCTTGAAGACACCCAGGCTAAATTGAAGCGATCATGCGACACGCGACATTTTTTACCGCCCGAACAGGCAGTTCCGGAGCAATTTATTTTTCGGAGGTGAACCCGCCCGCGCTGGTCGAGTCGCCAACACGCACGGCGCACAGGCCCTTTCCGTGAAAGCGCTCACTGCGCAACCGGGTGTATGCTGAGGTGCCCTTTCGGCAACAGTTGACCGCATTCAGGCGCTCTGCCGGAACCTCGGGGGTCTTGTCCGGGTAGAGCAAGCCTACAACCCTAAACCGCTTGGTCCAAACTCCGAACCCTACAACCCCAAACCCTTAAGCCCGGCAACCGTAAACCCTAAATGCCAAACCCCAAAACCTAAACCATGTGAGCTGGGCTTCCAAGCTTATCGTTATGCTGCCTTTTGGTACGCCTTGCAGATGCCAAGGCGCCGAATTGTGAAGGAGTTGGTGATCACTGCAATACACACCTCGGAGAGCCGGAGAGTATATCTACAAATGTTGTGGTGCCGAAACCCTTAAAAACAAATGCCCTAAACCGTGCCTCTGAAACCCTAAACCTTAAACCCCTGAAACCCTGCAGCCTTATAAACCCAAGCCGTACGCGCTACACTAAACATCATCAAATAAGGTGCGCGACTGGATGCGTGCCTGGACACGCGCAAGGCCGCCGCTCACCTCCTTGTTTGTTAGGGCTTAGGGCGATTTCCGCCGAGATCAACGCCGACCCTGCAGACCTCCCATTCGCCTTTTAAAACCTTAAACCCTAAACCCTAGCGTTCTGAAGGGATTTAGGGGGTTTGGGGGGGTTGCTGGGTTTAGGGGTCTAGGGGCTTTCGGGGCCTAGGGGTCAGGAGGGGTTAGGAGATGTCCTGGCGCAGGGATCTTCGAGTGCTTAACCCTAAACTTACAGTCTGCTATGCAAAAAATCCCTAGATGGGCAGTTCCCTAAATCATAGTCCCTCTTGCGTACCTTCAAATGCAAGGCGCCGAAATTAAGGCCCTAAACCCTAAACCCTAAACCCTAAACCCTAAACCCTAAACCCTAAACCCTAAACCCTAAACCCTAAACCCTAAACCCTAAACCCTAAACCCTAATCTGAGCCATACTTGGAAATGGGCTTGACGGGATGAGGGCTTGGTGGGCAGGCCCGAGCATGGCAAGGAGATCAACCCAGATCCGTTTCGGGTTTAGGGTTTAGGGTTTAGGGTTTAGGGTTTAGGTTTAGGGTCGTTTCGGGTGAAGTTTAGGGTTTAAAGTTTAGTGCTTGTACTCTTTTTGTTTGACGATGCCAACTCGATGTGGCGGAAGACCCCACCCTAGCTCTGGCTGCTCCGGCACAAGAACGTTGCCTGCAAAGCATTCCGTCCAAACTTTTGCTTCCATTTTCAAGAAAGACCCTTGTCATCACCACCTTCGCTTAACTGTCAGCAGGTCTCACGGCTCTATCTCCAAGAAAGATTTGAATCCGTGAACCAGACCAGTTAACTCATGATGGAAAAGGCCTTTTGTCTCACGGCTAGTCCGGATTGGCGAAGAAAAGCCTGAAAGGAACACCAGATAAATCATTAAGGGCCAATTTACTGAGCGAATCAATAACCTGTTGTTAATGGTTTCACTTCTTTGGTATCAGAAGCGCCCTCGTGACTGATGAAAGCCCGAACGAAGAATCCGATGACTGTAGGAAACGCAGGCGCAACGCGCGTCAGCATCCTCAAACAAGCAGACGACGCCCACGAAAAAGTCGAAATGCAGATAGTGACGCCCGCAGAAAAAATCAAAACACCAACACCGTCGAGCAGCACCGCATCTCGAAAGCCCGGAGAAGGTTAGAAAGGCCCGAAAAGTCGG